ACAGCAACAGACTTTTCTACGAAAAGAGACTCTTTTTCTAGTCCATCTGATGAGTTTTCAGAGAATTCTGGAGCATAGAAAGAATTTTTCCTATGTATTTTCAAAAGGAAAGTTGTTCCCTCTCCATGAATACAGTTGTTATAATAAATCTGGTTAGAGAGTCAGCAGCACAGAACCAGGCTGGTTGCACGTCAGGAGATGGGAGTCTCAAGTCCAGTTCAGATAGGAACTTAAGCATAAGCACATCCCTGACCTCTCTTTATCATCTGAAAGGTAGGGATATCATGTGCTCTTACTATGCGCCAAATATGTTCAAGGACTCAAACATAATAAAGGTGACAGGGCCCTGCAGCACTGGAACCATATTATAAACATAAAGCAGGGTGGTCTTGTGTGCACCCACAGAGCAATCAGCCACTGAATCCAAAGTTCAGCTGGTTTGGACAACAGTCCCCAGTGTCCCTGGGCATCATCTGACTTGATCTTCTTAAGTCATGTGAAGCTGGCCCACCAAGAAGCTCTGGTCAGTGGATGTGTAACAAGGACAGTGGGTTCAAGCTCCCCAGCACTTCCGCAAATAATCAAAAAAGGTCATTTATTAAGATCAGCTTTAAAAAAAAAATGGCATGGTTCATTTCAGACTTCCAACTAAAGATAGAAGATCATTTTACAGCCGAATTTGAAATGAGGACTCTCTTGAAAAGATGCAGCAAGGCACTCTGCCTCAGGGAAGGCACTTAGAGCTCAGTGATAGGGATGAGATCCTGGCTCTAATACCAAAGCTTGGTTAAGAGAGGTGGCGATTCAGGATGAGACTGTCCAGGTCTGAGTCCTGGACACGTAACTTGACCTCTCTGTGCCTTGATCCCATCACCTGCAAAATGGTATATGTAGTCACATACACCACGATAGGCTTAGGATAGAAAATAAATTAGTTCATTATCTGTGAGGCACTTTAAACAATATCAGAGTAACACCCTAGTAAACACTGTTTTAGAGAAACACCTCCCTTACAGAATTTTGGGAATAGTAAATAAGATGTGTGTCATTTGTTCAGTACCATCACTGGAGAAAACTAATCATAATCTTAAAAATTAACATATATACATTTAGAGATAGCTAAGCAAACAGTTTACAATGGATTTCAGGCCTGGGATTGCCCAAAGCCAATTTACTAGACTTCCTGGTGCTCAAAGTGAGCTGACAAAGCAAATGGATTGAGGGAGGAGAGGGTGTCCCAGTCAGAACTATGGCACCCAGCAGGGATGCAGCTCCTCGGGTGTGTTGCTAGTAGCAAGTGCCTAGCCTCATTTAAGGTTTGCTCCATCCCCACAAGCCCATGACTTGAGGATGCCTTATGAGGCTCAGAGATGCTAAAGACCATGGCCACTGTCTCCAGTGGCTCTGTGGAGAGTCAGAACTCAAGCCCAGATAGGCTGAACTCCAAGGACAATGCAGGGCAGAGACTCTGGTCACTGTGGTCTTCTTTCACAAACAATTTCTGAAAGTGCTAATTGAGATGCCTGTTGACATGTATTTTTCTTGCTGCTTATCCAACTTTTAAATAAAGTATAAACCCTCCATAAGCTGTAAAATTCAGCTTTTTGAAAGGATGGTAAAACCACTGTCGTCAACTCCAAACCACCTAAAACTTAACAAATTTAACAGAAATAAAGTTTCCACATACCAGCGTATTATTCAATACTATTTTATTCTACTGAAAAAAATCTGTCTGGCATTC